ACACAAGAACTTCATGCAGAGTACAGTTCCTGTCTCTGCTGGCTGCTCTGTCCCCCCACCCGTGGCACCCTCTCCTGCTGTTGCCCTGCCCTTCTCCAAGCCCCAAATCTCCCGTGCTGAGCATGAGAGTCACACCACCGGCCCCTCCTGCCACACCGCAGCGTGGCTCACACCTCGGGTGCCGGGGGTGTCACAGCTGCTGCTCTGCGTCCCCTGCAGAAGCAGAGCTGCTGGGCTCCGAGTGACAGCGCTGCCGGCAGCACCCCCAAAGGACATGTGGAAAACGGGTCGGTTTCCTTCCAACTCCAAACAGCACCTCTCGGGCACCCACTGCCCCACGCCTGTCCCCGTTACAGAGTCGGGGTCCCCACAGCTCTGAAAATACACTGATGCATTTTGTCTTGGTGTATCTCGTCATTCCCAGTCTGTTCCCTTTCTTAATCGTGAGGGAACCCGTGCTGATTCCCACAGGACGGGCACCAAAGGCTGTCAGAGACTGAAGTGAAGTGAAATACCTAAGTTTTGGGCAAATCTGGCCTTGGGCTTTATTAGTGAAGGTATAGTTCTCCTGAGCCTTATGGGCTGAGGAAAAAGTAACCTCAGCTATCATATCAAACAGAAAACCAGAGTGCGTGGGCAGTGGAGGCGGGTACACAACCCGGGGAGGTTAGCGGGATATGGCCCAGGAGCACAGGGCCTTGGCTAGGAGATAAAAAATACCACAAAGGTTTTCTAAAGGTAGCTAGGACAAGAAAGGAAGGTGAAAGAAACCAAGACCTGGCTGCAACCAACATGGAGAAGGCTGAGGTACTCAACAACTTTTTTACCTTGGTTTTCATCAGCAAGTGCTTCAGCCACACTGCCCACCTCACAGAATCCAAAGGAGGAGACTGGGAGAATGAAGTACCGACCACCATAGGAGAACATGAAGTTTAAGACCATCTAAGGAACCTGAAGGTGCTGAAGCATGCAATGAGATGCATGCAAGGGTCCTGAGGGAACCGGCAGATGAAGTTATCAGGCCACTGTCCATCAAATCTGAGAAATCATTCCCTGACTGGAAAAGGGGAAACATAACCCCTATTTTAACAAAGGGAGAAAAGGGAAGACCCGGGGAACTATAAGACTGGTCACTCTCACCTCTGTGCCCAACAAGATCATGGAGCAGATCCTCCTGGAAACCTTGCTAAGGCACATGGAAAATATGGAGGTGATTGGTGACAGCCAACATGGCTTCACCAAGGGCACTCAGAAATTTGGTGGCCTTCTACGGCAGGGTACCAGTACTGGCGGACAAGGGAAGAGCATCTGATGTCATCTACCTGGACTTGTGCAAAGCATTTGACAGTGTCCTACACAACACCCTTGTCTCTAAAATGGAAAGACATAGATTTGATGGGTGGACCACTTGGTGGATAAGGAATTGAATGGATGGTTATGCTCAAAGAGTTGCAGTCAACAGCTCGGTGCCTGGAAGGAGACCAGTGATGAGTGGTGTCCCTCAGGGATCTGTGTTGGGACCAGTGCTGTTTAACATCTTTGTCGGTGACATGGACAGTGGGACCACGTGCACCCTCAGCAAGTTTGCTGATGACACCAAGCTGTGTGGTGCGGTCGACACGCTGGAGGGAAAGGATGCCACCCAGAGGGACCTGGACAGGCTGGAGAACCTCATGTGTGAACCTCATGAAGTTCAACCAGGCCAAGTGCAAGATCCTGCACCTGGGTCACAGCAATCCCAGGCAGAGATACAGGTTGGGTAGAGAATGTCAGAAATTTGGTGGCCTTCTACAGCAGGGTACCAGTACTGGCAGACAAGGGAAGAGCATCTGATGTCATCTACCTGGACTTGTGCAAAGCATTTGACACTGTCCTACACAACACCCTTGTCTCTAAAATGGGAAGACATAGATTTGATGGGTGGACCACTTGGTGGATAAGGAATTGAATGGATGGTTATGCTCAAAGAGTTGCAGTCAACAGCTTGGTGCCTGGAAGGAGACCAGTGATGAGTGGTGTCCCTCAGGGATCTGTGTTGGGACCAGTGCTGTTTAACATCTTTGTCGGTGACATGGACAGTGGGACCACGTGCACCCTCAGCAAGTTTGCTGATGACACCAAGCTGTGTGGTGCGGTCGACACGCTGGAGGGAAAGGATGCCACCCAGAGGGACCTGGACAGGCTGGAGAACCTCATGTGTGAACCTCATGAAGTTCAACCAGGCCAAGTGCAAGATCCTGCACCTGGGTCACAGCAATCCCAGGCAGAGATACAGGTTGGGTAGAGAATGGCTGGAGAGCAGCCCTGAGGAGAAGGACTTTGGGGTGTTGGTGGATGAGAAGCTCAACTTGAGTTGGCAACATGCACTGGCAGCCCAGAAAGCCAACCCCATCCTGGGCTGCACCAAGAGAAGCATGGCCAGCAGGGCGAGGGGGGGGGTTCTGCCCCCCTACTCTGCTCTGGGGAGATCCCACCTGGAGCTCTGTGTCCAGCTCTGGGGCCACCAGCATCAGAAAGGCATGGACCTGCCTGACATGACAGCTCTTGCCTCTGAATGATTTGAGACAGGAGTTTCCACAACAGAGCAGACCAGCCGTCCACAGCGTTTGTTGTCTCACACACCCCGGGCACTAAAATCAGGTATTTTACAGAAGTCTGCAGAAGACAGTCCAGCACAGGCTGCCAAGGGGAAGGTTCTTTGAGAGGCTGGCTCGGGTCCTGACACGACACAAGCACAAACACAGCTGCGTTTGTGCTGTCCCTCAAAGGCCAAAGGCGAAGCATCTCACACACATTTGCATGGAGATAAACCCCCCTCTGGGGATGCGCTACTCACACAGTGACAACAGCAGGCAAATAATGAAAAATCAATTATGTTTTAAAGAGCCCTTTAATTTTAATAGTCCCTGGTGATGCTGATAACACAGGGAAGGGCATTTTTTAAAGCATTTATCTTGACATTTACCCTTACGATGCCTTGGGAATTTAAGCATGGTGTTGTGACGAAGCAGAGCTTTAGCAGAAGAAATAGCGATATAATTTATGTTCCAGTTTCTTAGTTTTTACAATTCTGCTCTTCTGTTTTGAGGCATTACTAGAGGCTTTTCTGAGGGTATGGGGGATACCTTATATTTTCTGAGCTTTAAGCCACCCAAAGCAGAAAAAGAAACTACTTTTGATTGTTTTCTGTTGCAATTCTCTGCGTGACCAAGGCATTATTGAAATAAATTGAGGGGTTATGATTTTATTACTATTTCTTAGCACTTAAACCTGGACTTCTTTGAACTAGTCACTGTATTAGCACAGAATAAAAACACAATCCTAGCTTGTAAGGCAGAAATAAGCCCTTCATAACTGTAATTTCAAACCAATAAAAGGCAGCAACTGCAACGAAAGGGACCTGAACGACTCCAGCACGTCCTGATAAAGGGATATGAATCCTTTTGCTTGCTGAGATGTAATGGTGACTGTCCTCATACCACATGCACCGATGGGGTTCCTGTCGCAGTTCTGGGTCACAGTCACAGCTTCCCGGCCACCCTGACCCCCAGCTCTGTGGGCAGCCTGAGCTGCGGGACCGGTGACACCCGATGAGGTGGACCTGAAGTTTCTTGAGGTACATAAGCCCCTGAGGCCAGATGGGCCTGCCACTGCCCAAGGTGCTCCTAACGGCCCAGCACATCTACCCTTGTCACCAGTCCAAACTGAGCACAAGCCCAGCCCGGTGACAGGGTAGAACACTGGCCTCCTGGTGCTTTTTGTGTAGTGCCCTGCAAATCCACAACCCCTTCACCTTACAGAAGTCAACAGCTCTGCATGCTCCACGCTTACAGTCTGTGCCTTGCTTTGGAGAATCACAGAATCACATGGGGTTGGAAGGGACCTCTGGAGATCATCTGGTCCAACCCCCTGCCAGAGCAGGGCCACCCAGAGCAGGTCCCACAGGAAAGTGTCCACGTGGGGTTTGAATGTCTCCAGAGAAGGAGACTCCTCCACCTCCCTGGGCAGCCTCTGCCAGGGCTCTGCCACCCTCACAGCAAAGAAGTTCCTCCTCATGTTTAGGGGGAACTTCTTACATTCAAGTTTGTGCCCATTTCTTCTTGTCCTGTCCCTGGGCACCACCGAAAAAAGACCGGCCCCATCCTCTTGACGCCCTCCCTTTAAGTATGTATAGGCATTGATCAGATCCCCCCTCAGCCTTCTCTTCTCCAGACTAAAAAGCCCCAAGTCCCTCAGCCTCTCCTCATCAGAGAGATGCTCCAGGCCCCTCATCATCTCTGTAGCCCTCTGCTGTCCCATCTCCAGCAGTTCCCTGTCCTTCTGGAACTGGGGAGCCCAGAACTGGACCCAGTGCTCCAGATGGGGCCTCCCCAGGGCAGAGCAGAGGGGCAGCTCTGCTCACACTCTTCCTGATGCCCCCCAGGATGCCATTGGCCTTCTTGGCCACAAGGGCCCATTGCTGGCTCATGGTCATGGACCCTGTTGTCCACCAGGACTCCCAGGTCTTTTTCCTCAGAGCTGCTCTCCAGCAGGTCACCCCCAACCTGTCCTGGTGCAGGGGGTTATTCCTCCCCAGGTGCATCACACTGGTTTCTTCACAAGCCTTTGCTTATCTGCTGGTAGCGTGGCCATGGCAGAAGAATGAGCCCCATTACAAGTGGCTTCCTGCTGGGAGGTCCCAGGCACCCGCCGGTCAGAGCCAGGCAGCACAGAGGACAGTGATAAAGCAGGGTGTAAACTGTGGGAAAGTGAAAGGGAAGCAAGAAACTGTTGCAGGCAAAAAATGGTTAAGCAGAGTTTATAGTTTGTGTCACAGCGACCTTGGGCTGTGCCCGCTACCATGGGCTGTGGTGTAGCCAGGCCTTGTAATGAATACAGAATATTAAACCGGTGACATGTTTTTACAGCTGGTTTGTTGACACTGCCATCACTGCACCCTTAGAGCTGGTACTTGTTGTTTTACTCAGTTCTGAGCCCTAAGCTGGCCAGAGGTCACCAAGATGGCCTGGGGCCCTAGCAACGTGCAGAAACTCCTGCCTGTAATGGCTCCCAGCACCAGGCCCTACGAACCCCTGGCTGCTGAAGGTCAGTTCCTCCATGGGAAGAAAGAGGCCGTGCCACTGAAACGTGTGGGCTTGAGGCTTGCTGTTCCACACACCATGTCCTGAAGGAGCCCTTTCGGGCAGCGGTTGTCCATCGCAGTCACCACATGAATTTCAGCCTGTTTGTCCTTTCCCTCCCCGCCGTCCCCTCCCTGCTCTCGCTTGCCCGGGGGGTGGTCACCTTCCCCAGGTGACAGGGAGCTGGGAGCCCACACTGGCCCTGGCCTCTGCTTTGCTGTCAGAGTCGTGCTGAGAGACACTGACATCCAAAAGGAGAATGGGCAGAAGAAACCTCCCCTTCAATCAGTCTTAAACTTTACATTTGTCCTTTGCCAGCTCTGCAGCTTGTTTACTTTTTTGCCTTTATAGGAGAGATTAAATGTCTTTCTTTTGTCCCTGGTGGCTGGGTCCTTCTGTCTTGCCAGAACTAGCTCTGCTGTGGTGTCAGGGTTGCAAATACCTCAAGGAAAATGTTTCAAAGCGTGCTTTAATTGGCTTTAAAAGAGATGCAATTCCACTGAGCTGAGACATGTTACACAGGATTTTTTTCCCAGAAGTTTTCTGAGCATCCACAAATGGTTGTTACAAATGATCTGGATGAGACCTTGGATGGAGAAAGTTGTAAAAGCTTGATATTATGCTCAGGCCAAATGCTTTCTGATGCAAAATACTCAGCTTCTTTTTGTCCCAATGACACTTCGAAGCTTGAGCACACTCATAATCATAATCAGACTCATAATCAGAACTGGCACAGTCTGACCTGTCTGTCAAAGTTTATAGGGACTGTCCTGCACTGGGAGGGGGGGGAAGAAAAATACCTTAGATGAGCTGTTAATGTGCAGAGCCCTCTTCACAACCGTGTTAGGCTGCTCGCCTTCCAGTTTTAATACCGACAAGTGTCCCCAGACCGACACAGCACACAGAGTGTCTGTTAGCACCCAGCCTCAGCGGTGACATCTGTCAGCAGGGGTGTCACCCTCTCGGCTGCAGTCCCATCGGAAGGGTCTCAGGTATCAGCAGCTCAGAGCACAGAGGCACTCGCTGCTTCAGCCGAGAGGCCAGGGAGGAAGGAAGAGCGTAATCCGAGGGACGACTGAGAGCTGACACTGAAGAGTACAAACCCCAGTATTAACCATGTGGTTTTGCTCCATTCCTTAAAAAATCATAACAATAAAATAATGACCTATCAGGATGACAGCTGTTCAGTGAGCAGAGATGAAGCCAAATCATAGAATCATAGAATTGTCAGGATTGGAAGGGACCTTTAAGATCATCGAGTCCAACCATCAATCTAACTCTGATAAAAACCCATCACTAAACCATGTCTCTAAGCACTATGTCAACCCGGCTTTTAAACACCTCCAGGGATGGGGCCTCAAGCCCTTCCCTGGGCAGCCCATTCCAAGGCTTCATAACCCTTTCCATAGAAACATTTTTCCTAATCTCCAATCTGACCCTCCCCTGGTGCAACTTGAGGGTGTTTCCTCTTGTCCAAACGCTGCCTGCAGCCGTGCAGTCCGGCCAACGCCACTCATCCTGCCCGGGGTGCACCCTAAACACTCCTGCCCTACCCTCACAAAGGTAATGGGTTTCACCCACAGAAGTAAACATAGTAAATTTTAAGATGAGAAGAGTCTAATGCAGACAAGTCCTTAAGGCAAGGATTACCTGTCAGGGCTAGCAAATTTCCTCACTCACACAGGCCAATTAGTTTGTCTGAATTGCAGTAAAAAAAAATGTGTCCAAATGCCAAAAGCAAGAACCTTGTTTTCATGTCTGCAAAATCAATGCACATTCAAAGCCTGCAGTCTCATTTGCATAGCTTTTCAATATTTTTAATGGCTTGGTGCTTTATTTCAAAAGTGCTCTCCACTGCTTTCATCTGTAAATCTCAAACTTCTTCACAAAAGCAGATATAAGTAGTCTTGCCCATTTTTTACCCTATGAGAAAGCTTGACAGACAAGCTGTGTAAGATCTTACTGTAGTGTCCAGAGAAATTATAACCCTGATTCTCCCTCCCTCTACAGGATACTGCTGTCTCTGCAGCAGGGCTGCCAGAAGGGAAGGGACGCCCAATGCTTCAACACCCTGCTGCCAAACTGGCTGAAGGCAAAGATGTTTTGAAGCCAGCGCATCAATCTGCACCGTGGTGGCTGCTGCACAAACAGGAGCTTCTCCTACTAGCTCTCCCGTGGAGTTGGTCAGGGGGGGCAAGCAGATAGGAGACTTGGAAGGGGCACAATGCTGTCACCGAATAGTCTACATCCAGTTGGGCCAACATATAGTTGATGTCATAGCTCTGCTGCACTCATCAAGGAGCTACGTCCTGCATCTTCTTGGGGTCACACCAACCCCATGCAGTGATGCAAGGTTGGGGCAGAGAAGCTGGAGCTGCCCGGCAGAAAAGGCCCTGGGGGGGTTGGTGGACAGCCGGCTGAACAGGAGCCAGCAGTGTGCCCAGGTGGCCAAGAAGGCCAACAGCATCCTGGCCTGGATCAGGAACAGTGTGGTGAGTAGGACCCGAGAGGTGATTGTCCCCCTGTACTGGGCACTGGTGAGGCCTCACCTCGAGGGCTGTGCCCAGTTTTGGGCCCCTCACCACAAAACAGACATTGAGGGGCTGGAGCGGGTCCAGAGAAGGGCAACAAAGATGGTGAGGGGGACGGAGCACAAGTCTTGTGAGGAGAGGCTGAGGGAGCTGGGGGGGTTCAGCCTGGAGAAGAGGAGGCTGAGGGGAGACCTTCTTGCTCTCTCCAACTCCCTGAAAGGAGGGTGTAGCCAGGGGGGGTCGGTCTCTTCTCCCAAGGAACAGGCCATGGGGCAAGAGGAAATGGCCTCAAGTTGCACCAGGGGAGGTTCAGGCTGGATATTGGGAAAAATGTTTCCACGGAAAGGGTTATGAAGCCTTGGAATGGGCTGCCCAGGGAAGGGGTTGAGGCCCCATCCCTGGAGGGATTGAAAGGCCGCGTTGACATAGTGCTTAGAGACATGGGTTAGTGATGGGTTTTGTCAGAGTGAGGTTGACTCAATGATCTTAAAGGTCCCTTCCAACCCAGACAATTCTATGATTCTATGATTTTAATTTGGAAAAGTATAAGTACCTTTATTACTAGGAATCTGCTTTTTCTTATGAGTACTAGGATGCTGTTGACATTGTACCAGCTTCTTACCTTGTGACATGAACCCATGGAAGTAAAGGAAAAAGGTACAAGAAAAGCTCCCTATTTAATTTGTTGTTGGTTTTTTTTTTTTTTTTTTTTTTTTTTAAGGCAAGAAAAGGACAAATTATTATTTCTTTTTTGGAAAACGGAAAAAGTATCTGCTTTGATAGTATTTTGACTCACAATGCAGAGAAACTCTACAGTTAATTTTAAAATGATATTATTACTGTTGCACTTCATGCTTCTAGAATTCTTCCTAGCAGCTACTTCAAATAAAGAAAACACTGTAAAATTGCTGGTACTGAGCAATTACAGTTCTCACATCGTGGGGGCCAGATTTGTTTCCAGTCTTTAATGCCACGGTGCATTTAATCCCAGTGCAATGAAAATACATAGGAATGTCACGGGTATTTTCCAACATCTCTAGAAATGAGTTCCTTCTCTATCTGCACTATAGCATCAGCTTTAATTTACGTATTGTTTCTTGGCCCCATGGCTATGATTTTCCATTCCGTTTCCAAGTCCACAAAATTACTGCTTTCCATTGTAAAAGGCATCCCTCCATTTTAGAGATATCAACAGGAAAAGGAGACAATAAATACCCCCGGCAGTAGTAAAATTCCATCTCCAGTAACAGGTACGTGAATAGCTACTTAGAAGTGAAGAATTGGTATGTTATACCATAAATATTCTTAACAGAAATCTCTGCATGCAAGCTATATTGGTAATAATGCGTATCTCATTCTTAGAGAGGTTAATAGTTTTCTTCCTGTATGCATATATTTAAAACAGCTACTTTAATTTTTGTCAGAATTTCTGTAAGTTTTCTGATATGGAAACAAAAAAAAAAAAAAAAAGGAAAACTGAAGTAGAGGAGTTTTCTCACTTGTTTGTTTGTTTGTTTGTTTTCAGAATTGCCAGGCATTTTCCATCTCTGTTGCCCAGTGCTTTAAAGCCAAACATCGTCCCAGATGAGCTGTGTTGGTGTGCAGCAGGAGAACTTCTGGCACAGGGATTTCTGCTGCTGGACGTGCAACACCAGCTTACAAGTTTCATATACACTTTCCTCACCTGACCTAAATAGAAACAAAAAGAGAGAGAACACAAAGTTCCTAAGTTCTGACCGGTGATCTTTTATAAGCAAGTCTCAGAGTACACAGGCGACGTGCAGTTTAGGGCTGTAGGGACAGTTTAGGACGTATGGACTCCTGGGCTGCACAGGGAAGAGTGTGGCCAGGAGGTGGAGGGAGGTCCTTCTCCCCCTCTGCTCTGCACTGGGGAGGCCACAACTGGAATCCTGCGTCCAGTCCTGGGCTCCCCAGCTCAAGAGGGACAGGGAACTGCTGGAGAGAGTCCAGCGTAGGGCAACAGAGATGATTCAAGGACTGGAGCATCTCCCTGATGAGGAAAGGCTGAGAGAGCTGGGGCTCTTCAGCCTGGAGAAGAGAAGGCTGAGGGGAGACCTTATCAATGCTTCCAAGGATCTAAAGGGTGGGTTGAAGGAGGATGGAGCCAGACTCTTTTCAGTGGTTCCCAGTGACAGGACGAGGGGCAACGGGCACAAGCTGGACCATGGGAAGTTCCACTCCAATGTGAGGAAGAACTTCTTTGGGGTGAGGGTGGCAGAGCCCTGGCAGAGGCTGCCCAGGGAGGGTGTGGAGTCCCCTTCTCTGGAGATCTTCAAGCACCACCTGGATGCTCCTGAGTGATGTGCTCTGGGCAACCCTGCTTTGGCAGGGGGGTTGGACTGGATGGTCTCTAGAGGTCCCTTCCAACTCTGACAATTCCCTGATTCCATATGGACTACTGTGTTTTGTAGCCTGAGGATTAAAATCCTGGATTTTAAGCTTTTCTGCCAGCTCATGAACTGCTGTGTCTCTCTGCCCTTAGGAGGAGGACTGTGGTAACCACTGGTGACTGTTGTTTATGGAGTGGGTTAGATGGAACAGAAAGACCAGAAGGACTTGGGGGTGTTGGTGGATGAGAAGCTCAACATGAGTTGGCAACGTGCGCTGGCAGCCCAGAGAGCCAACTGCATCCTGGGCTGCATCCCCAGCAGCGTGGCCAGCAGGGCCAGGGGGGGATTCTGCCCCTCTGCTCCGCTCTGGGGAGACCCCACCTGGAGCTCTGTGTCCAGCTCTGGAGTCCTCAGCACAGGAAGGACGTGGACCTGTTGGAATGGGTCCAGAGGAGGCCACGGAGATGATCAGAGGCTGGAGCCCCTCTGCTGTGAGGACAGGCTGAGAGAGCTGGGGGGTTCAGCCTGGAGAAGAGAAGGCTCCGGGGAGACCTTAGAGCCCCTTCCAGTCCCTCAAGGGGCTCCAGGAGAGATGGGGAGGGACTCTTGATCAGGGAGGGGAGCCATAGGATGAGGGGGGATGGTTTCAAACTGAAAGAGGGGAGATTGAGATGAGATCTGGGGAAGAAATTCTTTGGTGTGAGGGTGGTGAGAGCCTGGCCCAGGTTGCCCAGAGAAGCTGTGGCTGCCCCATCCCTGGAGGGGTTCAAGGCCAGGCTGGATGGGGCTTGGTGCAACCTGCTCTGGTGGGAGGTGTCCCTGCCCAGGGCAGGGGATGATCTTTAAGGTCCCTTCCCACTCGAACCATTCTATGTTTCTATGACTGTATCTGCTGGAAAGCTCATTTTAAGTGGAGCTAAAAGAGTGAGGACAAGAAAGTGAAAGTTAGCTTTGTGCTAGTAAATTAAACGTGTTCGGAATTGTTTTCTGGCCCAGAGAGCAATGGGCATAGCATGGCTTGAGAGAGCTGCTCGGCTCTTGGCCTGTCAGACAGGGTGGCCGCCTGCTCCTTGGGGTTGCTTCTAAGCCCATGCCAGCTCCTGACCCTGGAGCTGCTTGGGAGAACGATGATCTGGATGAGTGGAAAACATGCCAACAACAGCACGAGCAATTTCACAGTAAAGGCCTTGGCAATGTTCTCTGCTGTTGAGTTGACTAGTGCTGACGCAACCAGATATCTAGGGGGAAATTTGCCCTCCAGGTAATCATCTCAGCATGATTCCCAGTAACAGCTACAAGAAGAAACTTGTGTCCTAGCCCTGGCATGAAAAGACTGAAGTGTCCATCAATATGTAAGAGAGTATAAATGGGACTTTAGATAAAGTTGGAGATGTTTCAGGAAAGTTCTGGTTGGAGAATATGATGCCAGGTACTCCAAACCCAATCTTGCCTGAGTGCTCTGTGAAGATTTCTTTCCTAGTATTTGCAATTTCTTGCTACCGAAACACCATTAAAAAAAAGCAAAACCAAAACAAATAATGCACTGAGGAAAGAAGTTTCTCACACTTCATCTTGCTCGATCTCTTAACCAGAATCACCCAGTTGGAGTTCTTTTCTTCAGGGCAAGGTGACAGCTTCACTTTTCCTTGTGGTGGAGAAGGTGCACCCCCCGGCAGGATGCGGTGACAGAGCACAGCCTGGCCCTGCAGCAGAGAGCCCATAGTTAGGGAACAGACACTCCGTATCCTCAACACGGGATACACTGCAGGGAAAAACCCAAGAGTTCTTCCCATCAAATCTTCAATATCTCCCAGTGAGCCTTTAACAGCCAAAGTGAACTAGAACTTTGTGCTTCTTTCCCTGGAGGGGAAAAGGTTACAGTTCTCCAGCCAAGAATTGTAGGGAAGTCAAGTTTATTCCTCTCCTTTTTTACTTCTCAAGGGTTAAAAAAAAAAAAAAAACAAACTCAAACAAAAAAGGACTGCAATGGGCTTTGTCAAATTATTTGCTCACCTTTTTATGCTTATTTTTTACCTTGAATATAGTAGGAAGAGCGACTGGCTTTTCCTCACAATGCAGTCCCTCTCAGATACATTTATTTGGGGCTCTCACTTTAGTTGATGGACTATAACAAATATGACATTTTTGCCAAGTGTTTATCTGTCACTGGAGCTACATCCCTATGTACAAAACACAGAGTATATTTTGCACTGACCTAGTGGAATGGTTTCACTCAGCTCCCCATCTCTAGAACTTGGCCTTGTGGTATCTCAGGATTTATTCCACCACGACAGCTGACTTCTGTTGAAGATAAATACCTCATGAGTGAAGCGTGCACAATCCTTTCAATGCCTTGTATATGAAATACACACAGTCCTTCCCCTTACCTCCCTATCCTGCTTTTTTTGTTGTTGTTTTGCAGTCCCTCTCCATTAAAAAAGGCAAAAGGCACCCAGGCAACCTCCCTCCGGGCATTTTCCCGAGGGAAAGGTGTACATCCCGCAGCAGAGAGCACGGCACAGACACCTGACACCAGGAATTCCCCTGCCTGCTCCCTGCCAATGGCCAGCGGAGACAGAAAACTGGGACAACTTGCTATTTTAAGTGAAAAGGCAAATGAAAAACTATTCTCCTGCTGCAGGTCCCCGGCTCCCACCTGAAACCTCCCACCTAGCCCTCAGAAGTCAGCCCTTCTCATTCAAGTGATTCCCAGCCCAGGTCCCTGATCCTTCTCCCCACGCGAAATGCCAATTCTGGAGGCTTTTTTACACGGCTGGGAATAGAGGTGACAGACAAGCACAGCAGACAGCAGGTAAGTATAGGTACCGATCCACCCGCATCCCACATCCAGGAGATGCTGAATTTAGAAAGTTATCAACAGTATTTAAGAGTCTCATAGTCTGCAGGCTGTCCGTTCACCCAGGCCCCTGCAGTGCTACCGCCCACGTGTTTTTTAAAAGAGGTGTCTGCGCTACTTCAGGAAGGATGGTCTTCACATCCCCCAGACTGGCTCAACGAAGAGAGAGAGCCAAATGGGTCAGTGCTATCACTGCACAGAATCACAGAATGCTACGGGGTTGGAAGGGACCTCTGGAGATCATCTCCTCCAACCCCCTGCCAGAGCAGGCCCCACAGGAATGTGTCCAGGGGGGTTTTGAATGTCTCCAGAGAAGGAGACTCCACCACCTCCCTGGGCAGCCTCTGCCAGGGCTCTGCCACCCTCACAGCAAAGAAGTTCCTCCTCATGCTTCGGTGGAACTTCTTACATTCAAGTGTGTGCCCATTTCCTCTTGTCCTGTCCCTCGGCACCACTGGAAAATGACCAGCCCTGTCCTCCTGACACCCACCCTTTAACTATTTATACACGTTGATCAGATCCCCCCTCAGCCTTCTCTTCTCCAGACTAAAAAGACCAAAGTCCCTCAGCCTTTCATCATAAGAGAAATGCTCCAGGCCCCTCATCATCTTGGTAGCCCTGCATCACCCAGCCCCATGCGCAGGCACATCTCCCCATCTGCAGCAGAGTTTCATTTTGAGACTCAGTGACTGGTCGAATTAACATTCAGTTCTCCGGATCCAAGCCGACTCCAACACGCAGGGCAGTACAGATGCACCCGCAGGCTCAGAGCCCACAGCCGGGTCCCACTGGGTGCTACAGACGGGAAATTCCAGGAAAAAAAGGGCAGCAAGAAGGCCTACGAAGGTCATCATCCAATGCATCCAATTCCTCTGTGTGGTTTGGTGGGTTTTTTTCAATCTCGTAGGGAATTGCCTCTGACATAGACATAGCAGAAACACCAGAGAGGAGCAGACCAGAGAGGTCGAGGCCGTGTAGTTCGGGCCCACACCGACAGCCGGGCCCGGGCCCTCTGCGGGCCTGGGGCCGCGGGCCCCGCGGGCACCGCGCAGCCTCCTCCGGGGCTGGGACCGCAGGCACGCCAGGCCCCCCCCGAGGTCGGGACTGCAGCGGCCGGATCGCCCGGCCGGCCCCGAGGAAGCGGAGCAGGTAGGGCCGGGAGGGAGCGAGCGGGGCCTGAGGGAGCGGCGGCCGGGGCCTGCCGCCGTGCGGGCAGGGAGGGGAGCGGGCACCGGCAGCGGGCACCGGCGCAGGGCTCGGCCCGGGCTCCGGGGAGCTCCCGAGGGCCGCGGCCGGAACCGAAGTGCTCGGTAAAAGGCCGCCTCCCCCGGAGGCAGAGCCCGGAGGGGCCTTACAGGGAGGCGCCTGAGGTGTGTGTGCTGGAGCGTCACCGCGAACCAGCAGATAAAACCTTGTAAAACTCAATTTAAAGTTCAGAAAGCGGGCATTCCGTATGGCGGCGCTGTGTGTGCAGGGGATGGCTCCTGCTATCGTGCACCCCGAGTGCTGTTGTCAAATTAAATTTATACACAAGAGGTATACATACTCAGTGTAATTCCAAGAAAACATTAGCGCATTTATTACGTTTCCCAGAATTCATTTACGTATTATAATAAGCTTTTGGGCATGCTTGGTTGTGCCTTCTGGTGGTCCTCATTTTGAGTGAGGGTCGTTTCTTCCTCAATCTTCATCTTCCTCACCTGTCCTTTGGCTCACTTTTCATGTTGGCAAAGCATTCTAACTGCTTAATTGCTCATTAAAACTGATGATCTCTCTTGTACCACCTGTTTGTCAGGCAATGTCCATATTTATTGCATCCCTGTCTTTGGTCACCATGTTCTCAGGGCCACGTACATCCTTTCTTACCTTACTAAGTCCTTGAAACCATTTGGAATGCTTGCTAAAATAGCTACATTTCTTCCCTAAAAGAAGATTCTCTACAGTTTAACCACTTACAAACTACAGAAGATCTGCTGTAGGTATCAAGAGGACAGAGCGGACCTCGTGCACCCTGCCTGTTAAGGCCATCAGGCAGTACCTGGAAGACCAAGGCCCTCCTGGAGCTGGTCGCGCTGCAGAAGCTGTGTCTCCCCTGGCTACGGAAGGGCAGTCCTGTGCTGATTGAAATGCTTTTCAAGCCAGCAGAGCCCTTTCTCCTTTTCCTTTCCTACAGCTGGTGTCTGCTTTGCACCATCTCACCAGGCACATCGTGTACCACGGCTTGACCAGGGCAGAAGATATCATCTCTCTCTTTCCAGAAAACTTCCACCAAAATCTGAAGAACCTTTTGACTAAGATAATCTTGGAGAATATGTGAGTGTTACATACCTGCCATTTGCTTGCAGCTGGAAAGTTAAAGCCTGTGTATTCTGTGAATTTGGTGCATACCTTGGGCATAATCACACAGGTTGGGATGAGCAGAGCTGAATGAAATATGTCATGTGAGTGGAATGGCAAGCAAAACACAGCACAGAGGGTTTTCCCAAGACTTTTGGAGTGGGCGTGGGCCTCATTCACGTAATACAAAGCCCCTTTTATCCTAACAGTTCACCTGTATGGTGGAAAAATGCTATGGGTGGTGATAAAAGTTAGAGGGCTGGATTTCAGTACTGCAAAGTCGGATGGGGCAGGGTCTGGATGCCCCTCCACTTCCCAGCCCGGCGGAGGTGCAGAGGCAGCGTGCGTGGCACAGCAAACGTGAGCTGGAGGCAGAGGAGAGCAGTCCTGCAGGCTTGCACCTCCCACTGCTTGGTAGCCCATTGCTTTGACAGAACTGGGGAGAAGGGACCATGCCGTGAGCGAGCCGCGCTTGCAGGAGAACCGGTAGCCGGTCCCCAGCTTGCCTGCCATTGCCCACCAGTGACAGCCTTTCCTGGGCGCCCGGTGGCAGCAGCAGTCTTTCTTCCCTGCTCACTGCTGCAGCCCTGGTAACCCTTCTGGCAGGCATAAGCCACTCTGAAGGCTTTCCCTACCTTTTTTCTTTTCTTTTTTTTTTTTCCCAAAGCACTGCTGATACTTTTTTTTTTTTTTTTCCCTTTACTTTTTCACAGCTCTGCTTGGAGGAATGAAGCACAAGCAAGTCAGAGTAAGTAGTAGTTCATATCTTGATGCAATTAATGTTTCCTGAGGTCGTTGGAGCTTAGAGTTTACCTTAGTGCATCACAACATGTGTTCATAAGGTGGCACAGAGACCCCCCCTGTTTGCCTCAGACGAAGCTGTGCAGCTGTGGCATCACAGGGCTTAGGCCATGAGCTTGTATTCAGGTCTGGGCTAAATTGTTTCCAGTCCTCAAGCAATTCCATTTAATTCTCAGTCGGTTACCACCTTGCAGAGTGCACTGCACAGCGAGTGTTTGCAGCACTTTTGGAAGTGGAGCACTGTGACCTCCCCATTCAGGTCATTAAGTGATGTACGTATTCCATAGCTTTGCACTGTGAAGGGCATGTGTGTGTTGGGGAGTACCTTAGCTTTTCACATCTATGCAGTTCTGTGCACTCTTCTGTGCCCCCCTCTGCCAGGGGGTACACTGCATATATTCCTAAGTCTGCTTGTTCCTCGCCTTTCTAAACGGTGATGTAATTAAGGAATGCAAACTTAAACAATCGCACCGTGGGCAATGAGTTACATCCCAGGTAGGTGTTCCGTGCAGCTACAACACTCTGTTTCCCCCCCCCAAGAGGTTTTCTTTACAACTGTGGCACTTGGAGGCTTACAAATGGGAGCTGATAACAGAGTAGTTTGAGGTAGGGTGGGATCCTGCTTTGCCTGCAGAGGAGATGATGTCCAACAGCTAAACAGTATGGCAGGACCTGGAAATACACTGTCCCTCAAAGTTTTAATGATCGGGAGAGGGAAGAAACTGTTGTGTGATGCTAATAAAGCAGTTCCTTACACTAAACAATTTCTGGTGTTACCAAGAAACATAATGCTTTTTCCTTACCCTTAACACTATCATGCCTTAGAGGAAATGAGAGCAAGGATGACATGCTAGCTGAATCTTCACAGCCCAGAAACAAGGCTGGGTGAGTGGCTTTTGGAGCTTACAGGAGCTCTGCTCTGACACTCACGTCTTGGTATTTGTAAATGTTTAAGCCTGTTGGAATGAGATTGTCTTCTAGGAAAGGGTGGATTGGTTTAGCATTGTATTCATGAAATATCTGACATACATTACATAGGGACCAAGACAGTGGTACACAGAGCAGACATTCCAACTGATTGATCTGTGTTAACATATAAATGTTTCCTGCCCCTCCCAAGCCACCAGCAATCCATCTTTGCAAATTAACATACAAGGCTAAACAGATGCGTTTTATGTTGGTGCAAGTGCTGCCAAGTGCTGGCCCTGGCAGACTGTGAACTGGAATTTGTTCCAAAAGCAAGAGCCAAGGCAGCCTCCTGCACTGCCTCCTGGAGCTCTGTGCAGGGGAGCAGGAGGAGAAGGGAGAGCCTTTCCCCACACAGAAAGAGATATTTCTGTAAGCACTGTTAGGAAGTAACTTGAGCATCTGGAGGAAGGCTAGTGATCAGCCCTTGGGGAGGAAACCAGGCATCTTATGATAGAAGGAATCCAGACAGGTTGCAATTGCCTACTGAGACAGCTCTTCCCTTAGCACTCAGCAGAGCTCTAGTCTTTGCCTCTTCATCCCCCTTGGTACCTTTAAATAGATGTCAAATAATTGCTGACAACCAGGTTTGATAAGGCTTCACAAAGACACTCAAACCTACCAAGCACCACAGCTGAGATTTTAAATTGAGTTTGAGAATAACCTCCCTAGAGATGTTTTATGGGGTTGGTCCTACCTTTCATTCGGGCTTCTTTGAAAATCCCTAGCTGACATAAATGGGAAAAATGTTCCTTCAGGCACCCTGTAGCCATTTACACTGGCATAGTTACAGCAGTTCAGCCCCTTAGCTAAAAATGTCCTTTTCAAACTGAAAGGGCTTGTCTTTGTTTCCATGTCCTTAGTGTGGACTTTCTTCTAGTGAGAATTTAGACTTTTTCCCAGGAAACTGGATGCTGTGCTTTCAAACATAGGAAGTGTAGCTCAGCTCTTTCCTGAAAGTGGAGTTGAAAAAGGTGCAAGAGGTGTTCCCAGTCTTATAAGTGCTTCATAGAAGCAAAGTGGGAATGGCTTTAAGTATGTATATTAAACAAGGAATTTACCTTACAGGTAGTAGCAAAGTGGGAATGACTTTAAGTATGCCCTGTGAAACTGCACCTTACAACTTTTTTCTTTACATGTATATTAAACAAGGAATTTACCTTACAGACATGTTTCAAATTTCTGGATTTTGGTGGTAAATTTCACTTTACCACTGGGCAGTCAAGGGTTCAAGCCTCATCTTTTAGCACTTGCTGTTGTCTGGTTGGATAAGTAATTATGCTTTCCTCTGGTTTGCAATTTGTGTGAGAAAACACTTGTAAATCTGAGGTGAAAGTGTCAATGCTGTTTCTTTTTCTGGGTTAAAAATGTGGATTTTTATAATGAAAGTAGCTGTGTGCCACCCCTCCCAGTACCTGCCTCAGTTTCACTTGAATATATTCTTCAAATGTTCCTTGTATTTATTGCTGGCAGTGGAAAGACACTGTTTAAAAACATTGTGCTCCCAGGAACTGACAAAGAGCACTTGCAGCCAGCCTGTTGGTGCCAGGCTTTTGTTGGGAGAACCTTAATCCCAGCTTCTATGCCAGAGCAGCTCTGCTGGAGCAGGTCCAGAGAAGGGCAACGGAGAGAACCTTAATCTCAGCTTTTATGCCAGAGCAGCTCTGCTGGAGCGGGTCCAGAGAAGGGCAACGGAGCTGGTGAGGAGTCTGGAGCACAAGTCTTGTGAGGAGAGGCTGAGGGAGCTGGGGGGGTTCAGCCTGGAGAAAAGGAGGCTGAGGGGAGACCTTCTGGCTCTCTCCAACTCCCTGAAAGGAGGGTGTAGCCAGGGGGGGTCGGTCTCTTCTCCCAAGGAACAGGCCATGGGACAAGAGGAAATGGCCTCAAGTTGCACCAGGGGGGGTTCAGATTGGATATTAGGAAAAATGTTTCCACGGAAAGGGTTATGAAGCCTTGGAATGGGCTGCCCAGGGAAGGGGTTGAGGCCCCATCCCTGGAGGGATTTAAAAGCCGGGTTGACATAGTGCTTAGAGACATGGGTTAGTGATGTTGGGTTTTTTTTTTGTCAGAGTTAGGTTGATGGTTGGACTAGATGATCTTAAAGATCTCTTTCAACCTAGACAATTCTGTGATTCTCTGATGAGTTGCCCCCAGCAAGGCAGGGGATGAAGAAGTGGAGAAGATGTCTTACTGCTCCCCTTATCCCAGCGGCTTTGTGAATTTATGTTTGTCTTGTGTGTGACAACGGGAGAACCCTCTTTGTCCTTCCCGTGTCATGAGGGAGCCTTCAGAGACTGGCTCGGTGCAGAATGCACGTGATGTGAAACCACATAGTAGACTAAAGTTGTAGGCTTCCCAGGGCCAGAAGCAGAGAAGCACGTGCATGGTGGTGGTCACAGGTTCCAGGGTCTGGTGTCATCATGCACTGCCAGATGACCTAACAGACACATTTTTTTTAAAATCCCTCAGTCTCCCTACCTCGGCTGGTTGACATGGACTGGAGGGTGGACATCAAGACATCTTCAGACAGCATCAGCAGAATGGCAGTCCCTACTTGCCTGCTTCAGTTAAAGGTAATGTCAGTGGCCATAAAGAATACGGGACCAGAACAGTCAAGTCCAGCCCCTGACTGAGCAGTGGCAGCACAGGATGGTTCAGACAGGCACCTGGTGCTTGCCCATCCCATGGTGGGCAGTTAACAGACTGTCTCAGAGGTGATCTTTGAAGTGACACAGGAATGATGTCTCTGATGAGAGCCCTCTTTTTCTGGCAAAGGAGAATTTTCTTTGCATGGGGATGCGAGAAAGCACCGTGTTTGTTCCTGCTCACCTTCCTTCTTTCTCTACAGAAAGAAAGAAGATAAATTATGAAGTCATCGCCTTTTAATTCAAAGTCACTCATCAGCATATTTAGTTGACTGCATTAGTTGGGAAATAACTTTTGATTACTAATAAATTCCTTCACTGGGCACATCTGTCATTTGGGGAGTAGAGCTCAACTTCCTGCTTATATTTGACAGAGTTCTGGATCCCCCCAACCAGTAAGAGTTGGAAGGGTGGGTTTCAGAGGAGGGTGAAAAAGGTCTTAATTTCTGTGGGGGATGGGGTTATGTGGTATCTGCTAAAGTGCTTTTGACATCTATGTGGCTTCCTGCCACGAGTCTCCTCAGAATTTCCCCGTACTCCTGGCAGTATACATTTTTTTGCACCCTTTCCATGGGAGCACAGTTCACTAGTGAGGCACACAGCTTAGAAAACGTGCTGTGGTCCTTCAGGGTGGAGCTGGATGCCAGATTTGAAGCATTTTTCTTTTTCTGTTGAACATTGACTTTCGTAGTGGCACTGGAAAAACACGTGAATGCGTTTTTCATACAGCTAAAGTCTGTGTTCCTATTTTCAGATTCAGGAAGATGTTGCCTTATGTGGAAATAGTCCTGTTGTTTCTGCCCTGACTGTGGAGCTGAGCAAAGAAACCCTGGACACGATGTTAGAAGGTCTAGGAAGGATCCGGGACCAACTTTCTGCTGTTGCAAACAAATGAATACTCAAGGGCATGGATTCCAGCGCGAGGAAGGGGAGTGTTCTCTACCTACAGCTCCCATAAGCTGCAGCCTAGTGTAACGTGTGTTCTGTTTGAACAAAGCAAAATTAAAGAGGTTTCTTTATTGAGTTAATAAGATAGCTTTTGAAAAGCTGACACTTAAACATTCCTTTGGTCCGATGCCAAAGAGCGTTTTCCTGGTCCATGGTCGAACAAAAGCTGGTCTCTATTCCAGCAGGGGATTTGCAGGCTCAGAGCTTGGCTTAATCAGAAGGATCGTCACTGGAAACAGCAAATAGCTGCAGCCAATGAAGTGAGTGCTGTCTCTCTGCCCTGAAATTAGGGTCTGAAAGGCTCAGTCAGGCTGGTTAATGGGCTGCCTTCCAGCACTAGCAGAGGAGGAGGTGCTTCTCTCTGGAAGGGGTGTGTGGAGGTGCATGCTGGCTGTAGCACCCTCTCCCTCGCCGTGCAGCACGGCCGTTCTGCAGATTGTTATTACAGCATAATGCTTTGAAATAGGGCAATTATGCTCCAACACATTCCCTTCTGATCAGCTTCATAGCACCATTTGCGAAATGACTAGTCTGAACGTCTTTAGTAGCAAGTAATTTCCTCCTTCTGTTTCAAAAGAAAAAAAGGAGTTCAGCTAATTAATGTTTGGGTTTATTGGACTCTGGGCTTTGCCTTCAGTTGATGAAAACCAGACTGGGAAAGTAAAGACTGGATGGCCATCGCCTGTACTGTAGGGAGCTGTTCCGTGGCAATATGTGCCTCTACTTCCCCAAACTGTTCTGTTTTTTGTTTGGATAAATTTTCGTTTAATTAAAAAAATGAACTGCTAATTTATTTTGTGGATCCTTTTCAGTCTAGAAGAGATGCTGTCTTGGGTTACCTCAGCGTCCCTGTTACGGCACCTGGTTTCCAGGCTGGCTTAATGGGTGTTCACCTTCGTTGCTGAAGAGGGATCTTTTGTTTCCTGTTCACATGGATTAATCTTTTAAACTGTGGTCTCTTCGCTATGATACAGTTTCATGTCACCTTTTTCCTTGGGCATCAGCTCTGTGCAGTATTACAGGTGACCTGAAACATTGAAAGTGCAGAAAATGAACAAAATTCAGGCTCTTCTCTCTGATGCTCCAAACTGGAAGGCTGGATCCGAATACTTTTTTTTTATGGCAAAATCCCACCTTTCAGAAGACATTTGGCTCTTCTTCAGGACACAAAATGTTGTCTCCTGTGTTTGGAAACATTAACTTATTTAAGAATTTCACTGAATTTCACTGAATTTCTAGAGTTGGAAGGGACCATAGAGATCATCTAGTCCAACTCCCCTGCTGAAGCAGGATTGCCCAGAGCTAGAGCATGTTACTCAGGAGCATCCAGGCGGGTTTTGAAAATCTCCAAAGAAGGGGACTCCACACCCTCCCTGGGCAGCCTGTCCCAGGGCTCTGCCACCCTCACCGTGAAGAAGTTTCTCCTCATATTTGAGTGGAACCTCTTATGTTCCAACTTGTGCCCGTTGCCCCTCGTCCTCTCAGTGGGAACCACTGAAAAGAGCCTGGCTCCCTCCTCCTTCGAAGCCAAAGTTCTGCAGCTTACACCAGTCTTTTAACCATGAGTTGATTTGTTGTTTCTTCCTACTTACCCCTTCGTCCATCCCTATGTCTTCCTACTTACCCCTTCGTCCTCCCTATATCCCACAAGAATATTTGTAAAATAGTCTGGTTTCGTTGTTTCTTTTTTGTTGTTTGTTTTTTTTTTTTCCAGCCCGGTTCAGAGTCCTTTACAGTTCTCTGTTGTTCTCAAGCTTTTTCTCCATGAACCTGGGGTGCCCTCCAGGCTGCAGGGCTGCGGTGACACCATCCTAAGGGCAAAGCCGTACCAGGAGTAGCATGGACCATCCCTCCCAGGATTCAGTCATTCTTCCCATTCCCTTCCCAAACCTGTCCTGGTTTGAGCAACACAGGACTCATTTCTAATGCTTGGGAAAACTGCACTTTTAGAAGAATCTAGTGTCTCAATTTGCGACGATATTTACTTTACAGCCAGCTCTGGGATGTGGGTTTCAAGGTCTCACTGTTTTTGAGCTCCCCAGGTGCAGGGATGAGAAGTGAGACCTGGGCACTTGCCCCAAGCTGCCAACAGGGTTATTTCATACCATGACCTTCACATTCAATATAAATCAGGTTTCTGAGGAATTCTCTCTCTCTCTCCCTTGATGGCTGACACCCTGAGAACTCCTTGCCCTGGTGCCGGACCCTGAACCCTTCCCTTTCCCAATGCTGTTGAAGCCATTAATTGAATTCAAATTAATACCATGGTATTACTATTTAAATTATTATTGTTATTAATAATAATATTTAAATTAATACCACGGGAAGCTGCATGATGAAAAGCATGATGCAGTGAAATGTTGGCTGACACACGGCTGCACGGGGCTGCCCGGTCTCCCCGGGGGGACAGAGGTGGTGATGCTGGAGATTTGGGCAAACGGGGTCTGTTCCCCATGTGGGCAGAGTTTGCCTGTTGGCTGTGGTGCTGCGGCAGCGATGCAGGGCTGGGCTTCACACGGTGGAAGCGAAGGCTTTGGGGAGAGGTTTAGTGAGTTCAAAGAGACAGTAGCTTAAGGGTAGCATTACGTTTTAATATGCAGATACAGAGAAGTTAAGAAACGCAATTTTTATCAAGTTTCAAATTAATGTTATTTTGACGTTTTCTTTTAAATGAAGGCATTGATAGTGCTTAGAGACATGGGTTAGTGATGTTGGGTTTTTTTTTTGTCAGAGTTAGGTTGATGGTTGGACTAGATGATCTTAAAGATCTCTTTCAACCTAGACAATTCTGTGATTCTCTGATGAGTTGCCCCCAGCAAGGCAGGGGATGAAGAAGTGGAGAAGATGTCTTACTGCTCCCCTTATCCCAGCGGCTTTGTGAATTTATGTTTGTCTTGTGTGTGACAACGGGAGAACCCTCTTTGTCCTTCCCGTGTCATGAGGGAGCCTTCAGAGACTGGCTCGGTGCAGAATGCACGTGATGTGAAACCACATAGTAGACTAAAGTTGTAGGCTTCCCAGGGCCAGAAGCAGAGAAGCACGTGCATGGTGGTGGTCACAGGTTCCAGGGTCTGGTGTCATCATGCACTGCCAGATGACCTAACAGACACATTTTTTTTAAAATCCCTCAGTCTCCCTACCTCGGCTGGTTGACATGGACTGGAGGGTGGACATCAAGACATCTTCAGACAGCATCAGCAGAATGGCAGTCCCTACTTGCCTGCTTCAGTTAAAGGTAATGTCAGTGGCCATAAAGAATACGGGACCAGAACAGTCAAGTCCAGCCCCTGACTGAGCAGTGGCAGCACAGGATGGTTCAGACAGGCACCTGGTGCTTGCCCATCCCATGGTGGGCAGTTAACAGACTGTCTCAGAGGTGATCTTTGAAGTGACACAGGAATGATGTCTCTGATGAGAGCCCTCTTTTTCTGGCAAAGGAGAATTTTCTTTGCATGGGGATGCGAGAAAGCACCGTGTTTGTTCCTGCTCACCTTCCTTCTTTCTCTACAGAAAGAAAGAAGATAAATTATGAAGTCATCGCCTTTTAATTCAAAGTCACTCATCAGCATATTTAGTTGACTGCATTAGTTGGGAAATAACTTTTGATTACTAATAAATTCCTTCACTGGGCACATCTGTCATTTGGGGAGTAGAGCTCAACTTCCTGCTTATATTTGACAGAGTTCTGGATCCCCCCAACCAGTAAGAGTTGGAAGGGTGGGTTTCAGAGGAGGGTGAAAAAGGTCTTAATTTCTGTGGGGGATGGGGTTATGTGGTATCTGCTAAAGTGCTTTTGACATCTGTGTGGCTTCCTGCCACGAGTCTCCTCAGAATTTCCCCGTACTCCTGGCAGTATACATTTTTTTGCACCCTTTCCATGGGAGCACAGTTCACTAGTGAGGCACACAGCTTAGAAGATGTGCTGTGGTCCTTCAGGGTGGAGCTGGATGCCAGATTTAAAGCATTTTTCTTTTTCTGTTGAACATTGACTTTCGTAGTGGCACTGGAAAAACACGTGAATGCGTTTTTCATACAGCTAAAGTCTGTGTTCCTATTTTCAGATTCAGGAAGATGTTGCCTTATGTGGAAATAGTCCTGTTGTTTCTGCCCTGACTGTGGAACTGAGCAAAGAAACCCTGGACACGATGTTAGAAGGTCTAGGAAGGATCCGGGACCAACTTTCTGCTGTTGCAAACAAATGAATACTCAAGGGCATGGATTCCAGCGCGAGGAAGGGGAGTGTTCTCTACCTACAGCTCCCATAAGCTGCAGCCTAGTGTAACGTGTGTTCTGTTTGAACAAAGCAAAATTAAAGAGGTTTCTTTATTGAGTTAATAAGATAGCTTTTGAAAAGCTGACACTTAAACATTCCTTTGGTCCGATGCCAAAGAGCGTTTTCCTGGTCCATGGTTGAACAAAAGCTGGTCTCTATTTCAGCAGGGGATTTGCAGGCTCAGAGCTTGGCTTAATCAGAAGGATCGTCACTGGAAACAGCAAATAGCTGCAGCCAATGAAGCGAGTGCTATCTCTCTGCCCTGAAATTAGGGTCTAAAAGGCTGGTTAATGGGCTGCCTTCCAGCACTAGCAGAGGAGGAGGTGCTTCTCTCTGGAAGGGGTGTGTGGAGGTGCGTGCTGGCTGTAGCACCCTCTCCCTCGCCGTGGAGCACGGCCGTTCTGCAGATTGTTATTACAGCATAATGCTTTGAAATAGGGCAATTATGCTCCAACACATTCCCTTCTGATCAGCTTCATAGCACCATTTGCGAAATGACTAGTCTGAACGTCTTTAGTAGCAAGTAATTTCCTCCTTCTGTTTCAAAAGAAAAAAAGGAGTTCAGCTAATTAATGTTTGGGTTTATTGGACTCTGGGCTTTGCCTTCAGTTGATGAAAACCAGACTGGGAAAGTAAAGACTGGATGGCCATCGCCTGTACTGTAGGGAGCTGTTCCGTGGCATTATGTGCCTCTACTTCCCCAAACTGTTCTGTTTTTTGTTTGGATAAATTTTCGTTTAATTAAAAAAATGAACTGCTAATTTATTTTGTGGATCCTTTTCAGTCTAGAAGAGATGCTGTCTTGGGTTACCTCAGCGTCTCTGTTATGGCACCTGGTTTCTAGGCTGGCTTTAATGGGTGTTCACCTTCATTGCTGAAGAGGGATCTTTTGTTTCCTGTTCAAATGGATTAATCTTTTAAACTGTCTTCTCTTCACTATGATACAGTTTCATGTGACCTTTTTCCTTGGGCATCAGCTCTGTGCAGTATTACAGGTGACCTGAAACATTGAAAGTGTGGAGGAGTAAGTGCAGAAAATGAACAAAATTCAGGCTCTTCTCTCTGATGCTCCAAACTGGAAGGCTGGATCCGAATACTTTTTTTTTATGGCAAAATCCCACCTTTCAGAAGACATTTGGCTCTTCTTCAGGACACAAAATGTTGTCTCCTGTGTTTGGAAACATTAACTTATTTAAGAATTTCACTGAATTTCACTGAATTTCTAGAGTTGGAAGGGACCATAGAGATCATCTAGTCCAACTCCCCTGCTGAAGCAGGATTGCCCAGAGCTAGAGCATGTTACTCAGGACTGCATCCAGGCGGGTTTTGAAAATCTCCAAAGAAGGGGACTCCACACCCTCCCTGGGCAGCCTGTCCCAGGGCTCTGCCACCCTCACCGTGAAGAAGTTTCTCCTCATATTTGAGTGGAACCTCTTATGTTCCAACTTGTGCCCGTTGCCCCTCGTCCTCTCAGTGGGAACCACTGAAAAGAGTCTGGCTCCCTCCTCCTTCAACCCTCCCTTGAGATACTTGTAGGCATTGATAAGGTCTCCCCTCAGCCTTCTCTTCTCCAGACTAAAGAGTCCCAGCTCTCTCAGTCTCTCCTCATAAGGGAGATGCTCCAATCCCTGAATCATCTTTGTAGCCATACGCTCGACTCTTTCTAGTAGATCCCTGTCACGTTTCAAATGGGGAGCACAGAACTGGAAATAGTATTCCA